GTGTAGTCATTTTACCATTTGTAGTCCATAAAAATGATGCATGTATTTACTATTGGGTTTCTTTCCTAAATATTCACGGAAAGATTTGCTTCTATATGGGTCATTAAAATGTTTTTCAGTTAAAGATTTTCTGAAGGACCTGATATGTTGGTTTACATTCGTAACTGATCAAATTCTGGAACAAACCATGCCAATTTTCACTCTACTTGGCAAAATTTACTCGCGGCGCAGACAAAATGAGTGAGGCTGCTATCTTAGAAGTTGTTACAAGGAATTTTGGAGATCACCTCATTCTTGGGGAGGAGGGAGGAATCATAGGAGATACATTATCTGATTATCTATGGTGCATTGATCCTCTAGGTTTGTCTCTTTCAAATCCTGGTTCATTATTCCTGTTTTGCTTTTTACTCATTTTTTTTCTCTTTTTGAAGGGTTCCCTCCCACCTTTTCTTTAGCTTTTCTTTGCTGGGTGTTGAAATTACAGTTATAGCATTTTAGAATTCAGTTTTAATTATCAATTATGCCATCATTAATAGTATAATGATCAGCAGCTTTTCTGGACATGTATTGGAAAACTTTCGCATGAATAGATCTCATTGTTGTTTTTTTCATGTTAAATGACTTGAAGTTATCAAACCTTGATATTTGTGTGGATGGAACAACAAATTTTGCTCATGGTTATCCTAGCTTTGCGGTTTCTGTGGGAGTTCTTTTTCAAGGAAATCCTGCAGCTGCTTCAGTGGTACTGATCAAACTTAATTTTTTCTTATAAGATAATGAAGCGAAACAAGGTCTATTTCTTTTTTGACATAAAATAAAGATGAAAACATGATCACAGGAAACAGAAATCACTTGACATTAAACAGCTGAAAAAAAAGGAAGCTGACAATTTAACATTTGTTTTTAGGTGGAGTTTGTCAGTGATCCTATGGCTTGGGACACATGCACATTTTCTGCAACTGCCGGTAAGAAATTTTTGCGTTAACTTGTAATTTTCTTTATTTAATTGCATCAGTCATTTTGTACATCTATGGATGAAACTACCATCAATCATGACAGGTGGAGGAGCATTTTGTAATGGCCAAAAAATTCACGCAAGTCCAACTGCTCAGGTAAGTGATCATGTATTGATCAAGATTTTAAATTTTCACACATTATCAAATCATCTAATATGAATATATTGATTAGAAAAACCATGTGCCCTTCAATTATCATCTAGAAGTGTGTTTAAATCTGCATTGATACATGCTGAAACATTAAGCATTCCTTACTAGTGAGCTGAACTCTCTTATAGATTCTAGAATGAAAAGGGAAAAGGTAAATGCATAAGTAAACAAATGACATAAAAGTAAACTCATCATGGAGAGTTAATTGACTTGCATTATTTTATCTACATATGAAATTTATCATGTTGTGTCATATCTTTTCTAGAATGAAAAGGGAAAAGTTAAATGCATAAGTAAACAAATGACATAAATTGATCATTTTAACTTTATTAGCAAGGTAGATTATAACTCACAAGTTCATGGTTTTTGAATTGCACCTCATCTCTATTGGTTCTCCTTGCCCTTTTGGTTTTTTTAGGTTGAGCAGTCTCTTCTCATGACTGGCTTTGGATATGAACATGATGATCCATGGGCCGCTAACATTGAACTATTCAAGGAGTTTACTGATGTCAGCAGGGTATTGCCATTATCCTCTTAAATTGTTTCTTGTCTGATAGGCTATTGTTTTTTCTTTTTTAACATAACATATTGCTTTTTGTATTTCTTCTTCTGCTCTCTAATAATGTATAGGGTGTTCAAAGGCTTGGTGCTGCTGCTGTTGACATGTGCCATGTAGCTCTTGGGATTGTAGAAGCATATTGGGAGTATCGTCTTAAGCCATGGGATATGGCTGCTGGTGTTCTGGTAAAATTCTGTTTTTTTAAATGCTTTTACTTGATATGCAATTAGACTTTATTTCTATGTTTGAGATTGTGGACTTTATTAATGGAGTGAATAATGACCTATTAACGTATTGGTGCCTGTTATATCCCATATGACAAGACAAACAACTCAACTTACCTTTGGTTGTGTATGGTGACAAGGCTTCCTGACTTAGTTTTCTGCTTTGGTGACTATCTAATTCTTTGCCAATCTGTGTAATGAATTCCTACGTAGGTGTCCACATAGAAATTACTCAAACTATAAAAAAGATGGAGAAGGTAATACTTGCTAGGGATTGAGTAGGTATCAATTGAATTTACCATTTGAGTCATTGACTTATTGCTGTCCCCAGAGGATCCATGATGACTTCAACCATAAGCTCCACAGTGAATATAGTGGCACTGTTCTAGGAAATATGTTTATTTCTCTCACTAGCCACTTGTTCAACTTGTTAATATCGCAACCACCATCCTTAGCATTCCCCAGCTAACATAAACAGGCCTTTTCAAATCATATTTGTTGAATATGGACAAAATTTTGTTAGTAATGAGGGTCAGTTTTAAATATTTCAATATTAATGTTTTCCTTTCCCTTTCAAGCAGATAGTTGAAGAGGCTGGGGGGACAGTATCTCGCATGGATGGTGGAAAGTTTTGTGGATTTGATAGATCTGTTTTGGTGTCTAACGGTGTGTTGCATGCCAAGGTTAAACTTCACTTGTTTTCTGTGAAAAAATCAAACACCTTTTTGTTCTTTCTCTGTTTTCCCCACTCTTTAATTGCAGACATAGACAACTGGCATGAAAAATTTCACCAATGGCATTAACTATAATCATAGCTTCTAATGTCACATTTTTGAATAACCAATTGCTGGGCCCTCGTGTTGTAATTGGAAAATATCTAGTACCCATTTATGAGGGAGCTTGTTCTTCCTTCCATCAGAAAAGATGAGAAGGAAATTGCTAGAGCAAGTTGCTTTTGTTGAAAGGAAAACATCGCTCCAAATTCCCTGATGGATGGGAGTCAAAATCCACTTCACTCTAAAATAAATAAATCAAATAATCTATATTTAACTGTAAATGACGCTATGTGAACCTTGACTCTTTGGTTGTTTCATGATTTCACATTGTGTGCCTAATTCTTTAGTGTGCTTTGTGATCTTGTTTGAACCAGATGATAGATTTGATAGTCTTTATAATGCAGCTTTTGGAGAGGATTGCACCTGCCACTGAGAAACTGAAAAGCGAAGTAATTGATTTCTCATTGTGGTATAAGCCAGAAAATTACCGCACTGATCTTTGAATTGACCTAGCATTTATTCTCATTCGGAGCTTTGCTGCAGCAAGCAGGTGTTGCATATTGTGCCCTAACTTGTTTTTTATTTTTTTGAATTTATCTTATAATACAGGCTTCCATCTTCATTTATAAGACTGTTTTGCACTTTTAATTGTACCAGCTCCTTTTCATGTTACCTGATCAGTGCCATCGATTCTTCCTTATCACCATGTTCATTCTTCAAAAATAAAAGAAGAGAATTAGTTTTATGCAATCTCTTCCATGGTCATGATCTTTACAATTGAGCTGTGAAAGAAGCAATTTAGTGTTTAGATGATCATTTTTGCGTGGGCCAAAATGCAACATGCGAAATGTTAATGCAATTTTTTTTTTTTTTTAATGTGGGTATCTCGGCCAGCCAGCTTACGTATACCTTGATTAATTTTACGGGTCGTGAAGTTAACGATGATGTAAGTTTTCAGTGGCCTTGAATTATTTTTCAAATTGTAAAACAAACTTATTTGATAAGTAGAACAAATTTATCTTCATTCATCAACTGGCATCAAAATCCAGTATTTTCCGCAGAAATTAGGGATCCACATGCTCGTGAATGCCTGTTTGATTATTAAATTGGCTATCCTCTGCATATTCGAAGGACATCATAGATTATTTTTTAGTTCATTTCTGACTGGATAGTAAATGTTGTATCATTCTAGTGCAAGCTCACGTCTGTGGTCGAATGACAATCCATTTGATAACAAGGCACCTCGTCCATTCTCCGCCTTCATATTCATGCATACCGATTTGTAGCTCCTCAACATTTTCGGGTGAAGTTATGGACTCGCTACCTGGCACGTCTACTGATTGCTCTCTGGCCTTTGTCTGCAACTCTTCTTTAGGTTCTTGCTTGTTTCCATTTGGGATAACTAGTGAGACATTCACTGGAACTCCCCATCCATAATATGGGTCTTTCAACTCTACCACAAGCACAGCCTCATACAAAATATCTCGGGAGAGCATTCTGCAGTTGAATTTCTTATATATTACCAGCCAGCAAGGCATCTAGTAGCACCGTCACATCCACAGAAACATCACTTTCATAAGAGAACTTATGGTTAGGACTTGGGAAAAAAGAACACCCCTGGAAATAAAGTTGACATGAACTTTGAAGATTACTAGGTAAATGCATTATGCATATCAGACTAGGCACAGCACAGGAACTACTCTCGGGTTTTTTTTTTTTTTTTGTCAATGATAGACAGACAAAAACAATGATATAATTAAGGTGATGGAAATGAGACTTTCCTTTCTCTTTTGGTTCAAGTGACCACCCTCCCCCCTTGTCTTCATAACCATCACTTTCTAACAAACTACTGTCTTTAGAGCATGGTGCATAAATTACTCTGCGAAAATGTGTTGGCTCTTGATCTAGCCTTCCACTGTTGGATCATTAATCAAGTCTCTAGGCTGCAATCACTTGAAAGTGTGTTGAGTTTTTGATGTATTGAGTTGCAAGTGGTCTAAAAATTCATCATCCATCAAATTAAATAAGATGCCTTGTGGGCTAGAGAATATGTATTTTTTTCAACGGTCAAGGTATTTTTTGGGCTAGTTTTCGCTCATATGAGATTCAGGTTCCTCTCCAATAATGTCTTAGGCAAACCATTCGCGTCCATGCATTCAAAAGTGCTTTGGATTAGACAGAATATGTATTGCTTATCTGCGTGCTAAACACCCACTCGCACAAACACACTCTCAGACTGCAACGAAAGCTGTTAAGTGTGTGAGATTACAACTTGTTGATGATGCAGAGGTTGTTTTCATCAACATTCATCAATCAAAGAAAGTAAAAAGTTACATATTGCATACAATATAAAAGAAAAAGTACTTATTCTGTGACAAAGCATCCATTAAAGTTATATTCCCTGAATGCAAATTGGTTTCCGGACTTTTGAGAATATAAAAAGAGAATCCTGGATTACTTTTATGCAATATGGAGCTTGTTCTGCCTGCCAAACCCTTATCACAGGACTTGATACCGATAAGAGTCATTTTTATTTTATTGTTTGTTGTCAAACAACACAGCTCATCAAAAAGAAAATAAAAGAAAAACATAAAATTAGCCTAAATTTCCAGATTTAGAACTCTTACAAAAAAAAAAAAAAACATTCCCCACCTTTTAACCTTCTTTTGGCCTAATCTTGATACCTGCAAGAACCACGCTACCCTTCCACCACTCACTTTTAACTTCAAACATACCAAATTCTACAACTCCAGCTGCATTCTTTGAAACTGTAAATTCGCCACCGCAGATCTCATGCCACACATCATGTTTCTCCTTGTAAGACTCGAGTACAAAGTTTTTCACCGTCTCTTGTCCATTGAGTCTTACCTTGAACTTGATTGGAACAGAATGCCAACCAAATGCATCAACCTGAAATTTCATGACATAATATACTTCGTATTTTGTAGTTGAAGCAACATTGAACATAGCTGTGGGTAATTTCCCAGTGACCTCAATCCAGTTAACTTGAAGGAGCCTTGCACCTTCGTCGAAACCAACTGACCTGAAAAATTCAAACACATTATAAAATGAAGTATAGCTGCTGCTATCACTCGAAAAAGAAAGATTACGATATCTACATGATTAAATGCTAATTTAGATTGGCTTACCTTGTTTCCAATTCTGAAAGTTTGATCCATTGCCAAAACCGGGGATCATTGCCCCATATAATATTTAGAGCCTTGGCTGGCACTCTGCATGTTGCAGGACATGCTTTATCTGACGATATTGAATAGCCATCCTATAGATTAAACATTGATTTTATTAAAAAAACATAATTCATGATAAAATAAAAGAGATTAATTATCTACATGGTTACTGTTAGCGATAACAAATTGAATGTCGTTTGCTGAGAATAAGATCAATTTATTCTATCATAGCACCTTTCCCTCCCTTTTTCATGGATGGCAATTAAGACTACTTAAAGCTTTAGCCATCACTTAGGAGAATCAGAAACTTTATTCTGAAAATGAAATAAGACACTGCCAGACTCAATCTTAATATATCATCTTAAAATAGTTCTCTGCATTTTCCAGCATAAGTTCCTACACTATGACTTGAGCATGTTACGACGGATATGAGTAACCAGAGATGAACAAGTGTATGAAAATGTAAACAAAAAGAGGAAAAATTCACTTACACCCTTCCAGTGAGGGCCAGAGAGAGCCTCTGATCTTTGGTCGTAATCCATATCGTAGTTCAAAGTTCTACGCACTGCAAAACTAAAAAGAAACTAGATATATAAGCATAGCATTCTAGCTAACAGAATTCTTATTACCCTCAAGTTGCGTAAAGCTAACATCGGATTTAACTGTGGTGACGAGGAAGAAAAACATCTAATGCCCATACCTTTACTTGAGTCTCAGCTCTCTCAGCTTCTTTTTCCCTTTTGCTTTTCTGCCTACCCTTTTGTTATCTAGCTTCCATTCATTAATTAAGCTTCTTTTGAACAAGTCAAGGATTTATTAGTCTGACAAATAATGGTTTAGCCTAGAATTTGCAACTAAGAAAGTTGAAGAATTGCTTCAAGAAATCGGAATATGTACGAGGACGAATACAAATGGAACAAGGAAAGTAATTTCTTGATTCAGTAGTGCTGTGCAAGATATGAACATGTATGGATAGGATTACAGTGTAAAGTTAGGACACAGTACAATGGCATAGTTAAAGGTGAGGGAACAAAATCCTTTCCTAAATCACACGCCATTTAAAGTTGTTTCTTGTGAAACTCGTGATTCTGAATTACTTGCAGTAAGAAAATTAGAGTTTTCCACAGCTAATCTGAAGATGGTCTTTGGATCCTGTCCTTAAGTCTTACAATTTTCACCCCCACTGTGTACTTTAGTCGCTCCTCTTCCTATACATAGAACCTAACATAACACACTTCATGCACAATTAAACAGAAGTGTAAAGATCTAGAAATACAATTTATAAACAGAGAAGGAAACTTGAATTATTCTCTAAATATGGTGATAAATTTGTACCTGAACATAAATGTAGTGTTAAAGGGATTCATTTGATTGAGGGAAGGGGGGATGAAAAGGAGGAATTCTTAGAAGCAGAAGAAGAGGATGGAATGGATGTAATGAAAGATACCAGAAATGAAGAGTATGGGATGTCACTGAATGCCTTTTCTGATTGTTATGCCTATAACACCATTCAGATTAGAGGGCGTTGTCAGGGAAGGGATTTGATCATCTTAATTGATAGTGGAAGCACTCATAGTTTCATATATGAGAAGGTGATTAAAGGACTCAAAGCTGTCATTGTTAAAACCACAGTTCTGGCAGTCATAGTGGCTAACGGTAACGTTATGAAATGTGATGCCTATGACCTAAATTCAAGTGGTTCATATAGGGGCATGAATTTCAAGCTAATTTGAGGTTATTAAAGTTGAGAAGGTGTGATATAGTATTGGGAGTTGATTGCTTGAGGATATTCTCACCAATATTATTTGACTTTTACAAGATGAAACTGTCTTTTAAGAAGGATGGAAGGATGATCTAGTTAAAAGGAATTGTAAAGGATGCCAGTTTATAAATGGTATCGATTATAAAGATACATAAGAGTTTTAAGGAGGATGTTTATGGTTACATTGGTCAGTTCTTTTCCTTAGAAGTTCAAGAAGAGAGGAACCAGAGAATAACAGTGGTTGAAGTAGAGGCTATACTAAAGGAATACCAGGCAGTGTTCAAAGAAACTAAACACTTACCATCAAAGAGATCTATAGACCACAGAATCCCTCTCATTCCAGTTGCTAAGCCAGTAAATATAAGGCCTTATAGGAGTTTTTCTTACATAAGGAAAAAATTGAAAATATGGTAAAAGAAATTTTGCAGAATGGAGTTACACAACCTAGCTTTAGCTTCACCGATTTTGTCAGTAAAGAAGAAAGACAACACTTCGAGATTTTATATAGACTACAGGCAACTCGATGATCTAACCATAAAAAAATTTATAATTCCTTTGATCGATGAACTGTTGGATGAACTACGTGGTTCACAGTTCTCAAAATTGGACTTGAGGTCTGAATACCATCAAGTGAGAATCCATGATAGTAACATAGAAAAAAAGACATTCAGGACTCACTATAGGTATTATGAATTTAGAGTAATGCCTTCTGGCTTGACTAATGCCCCTACAACTTTTCAAGCTTTGATGAATCATATTCTGGAGCCTTTTATAACGAGATTTGCATTAGTTTTCTTTGATGATATCTTAGTGGATAGTTCAACATTTGAGCTGCACCTTAGTCATCTAAGAAATATGCTAGTGACACTCGGGAGTAATCAATTGTTTGTGAAGCAAGTCTAAATGCTTTTTTTGTGAACAAAAAGTAGAATATCTAGGACACATCATTTCACCTGAAGGAGTTGCTACTGACCCATAAAAGACAACAATTATCAAGGAGTGGCTAGTACCTAAGTCTGTAAAAGAATTGAGAGGATTCTTGGATATTCCCGGATCATTTTTATAAGTTTCATGGTCTCTTCTAGCTTCTATAGTCACTGACAGGGACAAGATTTTTACCAGTCTGTTCTGGAAGGAATTACTCAGATTATTGGGGGTTAAAATGCTTATGAGCCCTTCCTGCCATCCACAAATTGATGGGTGGTCTGGACGAGTTAATCAATGCTTGGAAACCTACCTTGGATATATGACTGCATAATCCCTAGTGGCACCATCGGTTGTCTTTAGCACAATGGTGGTACAATTCGAATTATCATTCATCAATAAAGACGAGTCCCTTCTAAGCATTATATGGGTATTTTCCTCCAGCTAGAGAACTGGTTACATAAGAAAAAACTAATATACCAAATGTTAGCATTACGGAGACAAATAATGCCCCACCTCTACTATGAGTTTAATGAGACAAACAATGCCCCACCTCTACTATGAGTTTAATGGGAATACCTAATCTCCACTAAACACAAAGTAATCTCCACTAAACACAAAGTGAAGGCAAATGGTGGGCATAAATCATGGCATGTTTTATGCCCTTCACTATATATATATGAGCTCAACTCGTGTTGTGTTCTGTAGAGTGAAAACACAGAGAAAAAAACATGAAGAGAGATAAGAGAGTTTGAGTGTGTAGAGTTGAGTAGAGAAGTTTTTCTCCTCCTTCTTGTTTTGTTGTTTGTATTGTTTCTTGGAGTGATTAATACAAACCAATAACTCCATGAAGTAGGCAAGTTGCTAAACCACGTAAATTGATGTGTGCTTGAATAGCCTAACAACTGGTATTAGAGCTTGTTCTTGAAAAAGAGGGTGTTTGATCCAAACTTAAAAATCAAAGTTCTCAAAATGTATTTTTGAGCATACCATCATGAAGAGGAAGACGAGAGGAATCCACTGGTGAAAACTCGATAAAAAACCGAAGTCCTGCATGCCCGCACGCGCCTGCACGCGAATAAAAAGCCGACTACACTGCCCACGTGCACCGACGCGCCTCACGCGTCTTCCTCGCCCGATTTCCTGCAATATGAACCGAGTTGACCTGACACGTCAATAGCCATGCACGCAGATCCGCACAGTCAGCAGCCACGTCACCTACCATGCCACCCACCATCTCGCATGACACGTCATCCTCGCCACGTCAGCCCGAGATCCACGTGGCTCTGCCACATCACACTTGTGGGCCTACCTATCTTATATGTCAGACACGTAAGCATATCCATGTTAGCATTCTGGGTTTTGATCCAGTGTGGCGTAGGGACTATTCCTCCTGACACATGGCTTCATCTGTAGCGTCCAATGATCCAAAATTTTGATTGATAAAATCTGAGCCATCTGAAGTCCGATTTGGGTGATCTCAATGTCGTTTCCAATATTTTTGGCCATTCTGGACACATTTGTAAGGTTGGATTTTGCATATTCGAATCCGAGAAATATTAAAAATGGCAGATGAAATAAAGGCTGCAGGAATTAAAAAATTTAATGGAATAGATTTTGGATATTGGAAAATACAAATTGAAGACTATCTATATGGGAAGAAACTTCATCTTCCTCTATTGGGGAGCAAACCAGAAAACATGTCAGAAGAAGATTGGCAAATTCTTGATAGACAAGTTTTGGGCATTATCCGGCTATCTTTGTCAAGAAGAGTTGCTCATAATGTTACAAAAGAGAAATCCACAGCAAGATTGATGGAAGCCTTATTTGGGATGTATGAGAAGCCCTCAGCAAATAACAAAGTGCACTTGATGAAGAAGCTGTTCAACCTGAAGATGACATAAAGCACCTCTGTTATACACATCTCAATAATTTCAACACCATCATAAATCAATT